GGAAAGAGCAAAAGAACCAACATTATTAGCAAAACTGAAATAAGACAATTTAGCTGTATTGTTACGTTGCTGAAGGACACTGTAAAATTTCTATTTTCTCAAGCCACAAGAGGCTTTACACAAAACACAGCGACACACATCTAGGCACTTTAAAATGGCAGAAATGTCTTTTTCAGTATCCCAGTTCTTTGGTTTGGCAGTGTCACTGGAAGTTTTCAGAAAGGCCCACGCATCCAAACTGGTAGCCAGATTTTCCAAAGCAGCCTGGCATTTTGGCTGCTTATTGCTAGAAAATATGTCCCAAAGAGAGCTTTCGCTTTAAGCACTTGTGAAAACTGGACCCTTTTTCAGTGCCTAAGAAGTTCCTTTGAAAACCTGACGCCATGAGTGCACGATATGCTATATGATCTACTGTCCATCACCGAGGGAAGCGCTGGAAGTAAAACACAGTATGAATTACAAATAGTGAGATGTGCATGTTACATTTTTCCTGCGAAGGTCATAACTAAATCACCAAGCTCCTACCTAAGTCACAGCCCAGCGAACAGCTGGGGGCAGCCTGGCGGGAGCGGGCGGCGTGCGCGGTGGTCCCTGCAGCTGTAGCTGCACCACTGGGCGGGGCGCCCCGGCCGCAGGGAACTGCCACAGCGGTTAGAGGAAAATTCTTTATATGTCCCCATGGCAGCTTCCTTTCTTCTCCAAACCAAAAGCTGTTGTCCCCAGGCCAGATGCACAGAAAGTGCTACAAGGCCGCCAAACGCACCGTTTGCCTTTCTGACATGTAACAGGCTGCTCTGGGGCCAGGATTTCCACCTCCTCCAGCAAAGCACAATGCACCTTTCTGCTCATGCTGTACACAGACGGCCAGCAGCCTCAGCCTGTGCTGTCTGGCTCTACAAGTAGCAGTGGTGGAACTGTTTTTGCAAAATGCATCTATCATGCTGGTTCCTACATCATCAGCCCTCCTAGTCAAGCATTACTTATCCCAAATCATCATCTATGTGCTTACACAAACGCAGCTGGATTAAGGCCAAAGGGAGAGGAGAAAGATCACTGTGAGGACCTTTGGTTGCAAAAACATCGTATCTTATTCCAGCAACTCTGTGCATAGGGCCACCTGATGACACCTTTAGACCCCTCAGGGGTCTAAAGCTGTTACAGAGCTGCAAGGAGAGACGTTTTCCAGGAGACAGTGACCCGTCGGCCCCAGGCGAGCTCTCCTGTACCACGGCAGAGTGATTTTAGTTCCCTGATGTACACTCACAACTGAATGCATTTGCTGAGCTTCACTTAAACGTCAAAAAAAAAAAAATCAAAGATTTTAAATGTTATTTCAATTTTCAATACCTGTCTTCAAGGGGACTCCAAAATGAGAGTAAACATGACCAGCCTTTAGTTCCCATATGAGGAAAATGAGGCGGCCAGTAACCTGAGCCCGCAGAACCACCGGTGCGGGACAGCTTCTGCAGCGCGCTTGGACCGTACGGTCCCCGTACCCTCGGGCAAGCAAGGCTACGGCAACACAGTTCTTCACGCGCGCTGCTATAACCGCATCCAGACACAATGCCAACCTAGCTTCAGTGAAACAGCTCAAAACAGGACGTGCTCTGTCTCCTACGCCCTGCCAGCGCTTTTAAGCCTAAATGCCTATAAGTCAACTGCATGCGTCTTCGCAATAAATTGAAAAGAATACTTGTCAATGTTTGTGTACAAACAAACTTTCTATATTCTATTAGTTTGATAATTTCCTTTCTATTCTAAATATTGCAAGTAATCATTTATTTATTTCAATTTCAGCTTGTTTCTTGGAGATGCATTTTTGTTATACCTGCCAGCATTTATGTTGCTTTAGAACCAAAGTTCTTAACCCCAGAGAAATCTGAGGTCACGCTCAACTACACGTGAGTTTTCAGTGCTATCCCAAGTGAGTCTTGTATCATGTTTATTATTACCAACAAATGGTTGGGCAACGGGCACAAAAAGAGACCCTTTTTATCATGTTTTCCTAATTTTTTTAAAAAGTAAATAGATTTTACTCAGCTTAAAAAAAAAAATCCTCAGAGAGGGGGCGTACATGCAAGTATATAGCCAACTTGCCAAAGAGAAAGCAGTAAAAGCAAGGAAAAATAAATACAGTATAAACAATATAAATCACCAAAAGGTCTACGGGGTGTCTTTAAAATTCATGAAATGTCTTTGGACTATTGCTTTACATCACCTGGTAAGAATCCCACACTTCGGAGAAAACAGAAAAGTTTTGGATGTACAGACAATCAGTGATACTGGCTCTCCCATAAAAGGAAGGAAGGAGAGGAGTCCCAAGCTACCGTCAAGCACAGAACTTCTGAAAGACATGATGAGCGGAACTGATGCTATGGCCTCAAACTAACAGACTGGTAAGGGGTGCTACTCATTTTACCTCAAGGTACAGGAAATCACCTCAGAACAAGTGAAGGAAAAACCCAGAGTTAGCAGGAAGTCAGTAATTTGAGTGGGACCTGGAGTAACAGCAAGAGACCTAAGTGGTGAGCGCGTTTACAGGAAAGATAGAGTAATAATAGATTTTGGAAGGGGACTGAATTTTCTCAGGAATTTTGCAAGGTTGCTTTACATATCCTGATTTGTTTAGAGGTTCATCCACTTCCACCGCCTGTTTCTGAAGTCATCACAATCCTCTGTTGTGACACACAATCGTTTCCACAGCAACTAGCTGCAAAGCCAGCAATAGGTAGGGAATGGTTGGGAATAAGTAGAAGGAATCAGTGAAAAGTTAAAACACCGAGCTTGTTTTCATGTGACTAATGTTGTTTTCTTAGCAATAATAGATAAGAGAGACTAAAAAAACTGCATGTGTTATTATGAGGTAAGCAAAGCGTACTCACAAACCATTCTTGTTCTGTCCTGGTAGGAAAGAAAAAAGGAAGAAAAATGCCCTACATGTGTTGGACAGAATTCCCACGCGCGGTCAGGACTGGCCTCGCTCTGCCCCTGCTGAAGTGGACGTCAATGCCCGGGAACGTAAGGCCACTCCTTAAGTTTCGCATCCCTCGTTTTTAATCATCACAACTTATGCTTTCAACTGGGATGACTGACAAATTTGGGTCTAATTTCTTCAGAGAGCCTGCAGCCATCAGTAAGGTCCTGCAACTCTGTGGAAGTCAAGTGAGACTGAGGCTGAGGTTCAGACCCCGCTCCAACGCCCAAGTATAACCTTCCGTATCCTGCATCGACGGCAGTAGCTGAACATATACTTCCAGATTTCTCACTTGCTGGGTAAACAGCATACCCACCTCACCGAGTGGAAAGAAACCGCACGATTCCTTGCTTTCTTCAGTGGGAACACGTCTGATTTTTCGCAGATGTGAGAAGTGAAATGGACCTACCCTACAGAAGGCTATTCTTTCTTTCACTGCAGTAAAGCTGCGCGCGAGGACCCCAAAAGGACGTTTCTGACTGATTTTGTTCCCACGGTTCTGTGGCACCCCAGTATCTCCAGAACCACTCCTAACCCTAGTCCCTTGGGAAGCAAGCTTGAGAAGGTGAGAGTTTAACTTCAGTCATGATTCAGAGGAAAGAAAGAGAATTCACGCTCTCATAAGAGAAGAATCAGTACTACCGTGTTTATCTTGCCTCAGTGATTCACTGTGCATATGGTGGATCGAGACTATGATTACTTAGTAGTCCCACAGTATTATCAAATAATTCAGCCAATTGTTAGAACAGTCACAGCCACTTGGACCTACCAGAATGACTTTCATTTTAGAAAAAAATGTATCTTTATTTCATGAAGTCAGGAAATCTAGCAAATGTCCTGCAGTGACCACCCCTCTTCTAACAATAATGTCCTCATTTGAGACCAACTGATTTCTCTTGTGATTTTAGTATTCTCTGACTGAAAAAATGGAACACCAGTCCCTCAGAGAGCCAATGACTGCTTGCTATTGGGGGGTCCAAGAAACAGACAGTTTCTCAAATGGTGTTTTGCATGAATGTAAAGGTAACTCAGCATGATACTTTGTTCAGGGCTATTAAGTTGGAACCAAAGGGCCGGCAATAGCTATCAGTGAAGAACAACACGTTGTACAGCAAAGAATAACTTGCTAACAACAAGAGGTTTGAGTGAATTGTTGCTACACAGGGCTGTTTACAAAGCATCCAGAAGCAAATTATTAGAGAAAGTGCTGAAAACAAAGCCAGATACTCCAGGGAGCCATAGCTACCTTCCACTGCTGCAACTAATGGCATCTGAATACAGAAACACCTCTGCATTCAAGTATGCCTCAAGGAGCCAGTTTGAAAAGCAGAAGCAATTCCTTCTGGTGCCGTGCTAGCAGATTGTGGGGAAAAAGGAAGAGGAGTAAAAAATCACCTTGCCACTTCCTTCTTCCTGCAACCTGCAG